CTGGTGCCTGCCAGGCCCTGGCGTGAGGGAGCAGAAAACGGCAGAAAGGTCCTGTGAGGTTTTTCAGCAGTTGACACACGAGGAGTTTGTGGGAGAGGATTTGTCACAATTTGTTGGGTGGCGTCAGGCTGCTCTCAAGGCCTTCAGGGCCTTTCAGGTCTGCGGCCTGGCACAGTGTTGCCTGTCTGGTCTTCCCTCAGTAACAGGCAGTGCCTAACTTCAGCTGCTTTAAGTTGAAAGTGCAGAAAAAAAATCAATATTAAGCCTGATTGACTGGGAATTTCTGACTAGAAACTATTGGAACACTTCAGGTGGGAACTTAAGTGAAAAATGCTAATCTTTGCAAAAGAAAAAAGATTTTAATAGGTTAGTGGACCATGGAAAGGGAATAAGACATCTTACAACCTCTTTTCACTAAATGAATGTAGGTCTGGAAGGGCCTATCAGCCTTAAAGACCTGTCACTCTTAAATAGAAATGTCAAACTCAGGTTTATCAGCTAAGACAGCAGGCTTTATGATAGTGAATAGAATTAGCTTTATGTGAACCATGAACCATAATGTTCTACAGTAGGTCTGCGCTATGGCTTTCATGAAGTTTCTATTTCTGTTGCTGTCATTAAATTATTTTTTCTAAAGCTTTGGCTTACCAGAGCTGAAGCTTTGGCATACATTTTTTGCCAGATCATTTTTAATATGAAATTGGGTTTAAAAATTGATAAAAGAAAAAGTGTTCATGAAATGCCACAGGAAGGAACTTCGGTGACTTTTTTCAAAATGTTTGGAATTACATGTAGCAGCAAACACTGTCAATACTATTATCATTTACTCTGCCATATAGGCTGTCATGGTTTAACACAGCAGGACGACCAAACCAATTGAAAGCCATGTTAAACAATTTCATTTATCTGTGAACTTCCAAAGTCAATGGATCTGTTTAGGCAGTATAGGGTTCTACTACTTGTATTGATGGGTTTACAATTCACAAAGCCTCAGTAGGTAACCAATAAACGAGTGAAATGTATTATTTATAATAGTAGTATACCGCTTATCTTAGCTCTACAATTAACTCTTTACGCCTATATTTACAAGGAGCTCCAATCATAGGTGGATATAATAAAAGCAAATAAGTAGTTAAATCAACAATACATATACAAACAATCACATATACTGTGAGTATATGTGAGTACATATACTCACAGGAGTAAACAGGTCAGAAATAAAGGTGAAGGTTTAGAAATGGGGGGGGGGGTGCCCTGATCAAGCCACGCCGGGCAGGCACGTTGATCCCCGTGGGACAGAACCCACATGAAACTACACTGAAAACCACCAAAAGTGGTGTGCTGACCCCCGGGATAGAACCTGTATGCCAGTCAAGTCACACCAGGTGGGGTGTGTTAATCAGATTACCCAGTAATACGCAGTATACATTTATCGTGTAGATGACTCACTCACGTGAACAAATGCGAATGACGTGAGGGTCCAAAGGGTGAATCCTGATTCGGTGTCCTGACCCTGGAGGTGGGGCAGGTGCTAACAAGTGCTGATTCGCCACCTCTGGCATCTCGTGCTGACATTGACCATCCTGCAGCCACCAATTGGACACCTTCCTGCGCCTAAAAGCTGGCTACGGGCCTATGTGACTTAGCTTGACAAGCCAAAGGCTCTCAGCGATTTTGCTCAGAGAGTAGCCAGCTCTGGCTCGTTGCTACTGCTGCTGCTTTTTTTCAGGTGTTTCGCTGATCTCTCTTCTGCGCTCCACCAGTGTTCTCCGTTTTCTCGAACACCACCGACACACGCACCCAGGTGTCGCAGCTGCTTCTTTAATAGGCAAGACCTGTGTGTGGGCATAGTCAAACCAGGTCCTAACACAGCTCTATGACTGGTGGGGGTATGAATCTGTCCCATGATTGGGTGAATTTTGATTCCGTATCGAATGCTCCATATAATTGACAGCTCATGGCTTTCGGGGCAGGTACTCCTTCGCCAATGATTTTAAAGCACCAGAGGTGGGAATGCGGATCAGGGACAGCTAGCTAGACCGAGGGCAAGTAAAGGTCAAACATATGTCTATAGGGGTTAAACTCTGACAAAGCAAGTGACCTGTAGTGTCTTTTTAGTGCCACACTTCTGCAATTTAGTGTGAGATACCTAAAACTGAGGAGGGTTTTTTTCCATTTTATTTTAGGGTTTTAGTGGTCTTTTGCTCAAAACAATAGTATCGTGAGGCCAGTGAAGGGCTTTGCACCATCCTGCTTAATTTTACAATGCTTTAAGTAACAAACGTTCTCATTTCTACTACTGTTCTAATCTTAGTTTTAATACTGGAAAAAAATATGTTTGAGCCCACATTTTAGACTAGGAAATAAGGCCAAGAGAAATTGAATTGTCATTTTAAGAATCTTACGGTTAATGTACTAGATTAAATGATTTTGAATTTCTCTAAATGAGGAATCAATTTCTTTTAAATTGCTCAGTAACTGACTAGAATAACTGTCTGCAACAGCTAAACAGGTTCAGTGAATGGAAGATTATAGTAGATGCTTTATGAGCTGAATATGCTGGTCAGTGGTGAAGCTGTCATACAGACAAGCTAGGTGGATAGAAAGTTAGTGCCTTATTATGGCTACAACATACAGTATTAAAAATTGATGTAGTTTCTACTGTCAGCCAATGTAGACAGCAGTGTAAGCTTTATTGCAAAATACAAGCTTCTATGAGATTGACTAGAATAAAGTCGATAATGCTGTTTGTCAGCAGGTGGTAGCAGATACATAAGTATTACCAACACTTTTGTGTGGTGTAGGCTAGCCCTCATTTTTCATGGAGAATGAAATGTGAAGCAGAACATACTTGAAAATAACAAATATACACATTGCTCTATTATGGATAAAGGGCTGTACATTTGTCCTTTTAGAGCTTCTCTACAGATCCAGTGTGCTACATTCAGATCTTAATTTTAAAGATACTATAGAAATGAAATATTCAATATCAATGATGATGTAGAAATATTTCTGTTCTTTTTACTAAGAGTAGCGAGACAAAGAGTTTTTTAAAACTCAGTCTCATTTTTCTATTGTAAGATTCAGATTCCTATATCATTCCTCTCCAGGCTATGGTGTTGTCTATGTTGATTTTTACAGGAGAAAAAGGAAAATTATCCCTTTTAACAAATGAAAAACTTTATTTTGCATAGGAAAGTATCTGAAATCACACATTTATATACATTTAAGTTGCTGAAGACCAAGCTCAATGACAAAAAAAGGTCTGCTTATTGCAGAGGATCCCAAAACTGAATGCTAAGCTCTGTTTTAACCGTAGCACTGGGAGCTGGCCAGCAAATCTGGGTTTGTGCTAGCCACCACTTGTAAGTATCTTTTGTACTTACTGTGGAGGGACATGCAGCTTAAAAGCTCCAAGTGAATAGGAAGGAACTTTTGATTTTGTTTTTGAAATTCCCTACAAATATCAAAGTGCTGCTTTTTTTTTTTTTTTTTTTTTGCCTTTCTTTAGTGAGTCTGTGAATTAGTAGATAGATAGTTCTCAGTGGTCTTGTTTCATTAAGATCATTAAGTGTGGGTTTGCTCTTGTGATATTGTTTTCCTAATTTCTGTCCCAAGAAGCTAATGTCCCTTGAAATACAAGACCTGTATTTAAATACCTTTGAAAAATGAAATATACCAATATCTGCTGTCCTTGTGCTGAGCCAACCATATCCTACACTCTCTTCTTCTTTGCCTTTGATATATGATTTGCAGGGTATGTTCCACTATGAGCTGGATTTTGTTTAGGAGTTATGTAGCAAAGTTTATCTTTTTTTTTTTTTCAAAATTATCTACCTCATACCAGATTCATCTTATCCACTGGATCTAGACAGATGTAATCAAGATCTTGTGCAGGTGATGCTTCTGGTTTGGCTGCACTTAGTGACAGGATGGCCTGGGCGCCCCTTTCTTGTTCTTGAGATGCTTCTGTTTGAAGTTGAAGTAGCGAGTGGCCTCCTTTACCAGGCACGGTGGGAGAACTGCTGCTTCCTGTGGCTTCTTCCTACCACAGTTATGGGATGCTTGGGGAGGGGGTGGGTCTGAAGCAAA